ACCGCCGGCGCCATAACTCGAGCTATAGAAGAGCTACAGAGCTGGTAAGCACAGCTAATCGATTCAGAATGATCAGGCGCGTTCGCCTGTTGCATCCAGAGGTCCGAACTCGGTCTGCTAGCCGAGCTAGGTCCGCAAACCTATTCGTATTATTCGAGTCATCTTGACAGGCGCTCTCGGTTTTCTGTACTTAACTCGAGCTATATGGCAGCTACAGAGCTGGTGCTTACAGAAACGGGTTCAGAATCATCATTGGCGTTCGTCTGTGGAATTCAGAGCTCTGAACTCGGTCTGCTGTCCGATCTAGAATCGCGAAACTATTCGTGGTGTTCGAGTCATCTTGAGAGGTGTTGTCGGTTTTCTGTACTTAACTCAGGCTGTAGGGGGGCTACAGGGCTTGTAATCTCAGGAATCGATTCGGAGACATCAGGCGCGTCCGTCTGTCGAATCTAGAGCTCTGAACTCGGTCTGCTGCCCGAACTAGGTTCGCGAGTCTAATCGTATTGTTCGAGTCATTCTGAGAGGTGCTGTCGGTTTTCTGCACTTAACTCGGGCTGCAGGGGGGCTGCAGGGCTGGTAATCACAGGAATCGATTCGGAGTCACAGACGCGTCCCACTATTGAATTCAGAGGTCCGAACTCGGTGTGATACTCGAGCTAGGTTTGCCGAACTATTCGCATTGTTCCAGTCATCTTGAGAGGTGCTGTCGATTTACGCACGTAACTCGGGCTGTAGGAGAGCTACAGAGCTCGTATAGAAGAGAATCCAACATCAGGGGCGTTCGGCTGTTGCATCGAAAGGTCTGAAATCGCTTGGGCTGACAAACTGCTCGTTCTCTGCAATTTTTTCTCGACATTATATATTGTCAGGGAGCTCTACGAGTCCCCCCGGCGGTAAGAAAGGTTGACGGTTTACCGCCGGCGCCCAGTTCGAACGACCGCCGCTGCGACTGATCTCACGAGCCTGCTGGGTTTCCAGATATTCAAGAAAACAAATCCATTGCCCCCATCCAAGCAATATTTCCCACGAGCATCAGAGTACGAGCCCGCAGGTGTGCGTTGAGGATTGCTGACTTCTCCGTCTCCAAGGCCCGCGGAGCAGGCTTGTGACCAAGATTCTCTTTCAGCCTCTGTGTATTGCCAGAGAGTTGGGTCCTTGTTTTCTTCAGGATAGCACGTTAGGTTGGGTTTCCCTCCTCCTCTTGACTCCTTTAGCTCCGTGTCTTCCCTCCTCCTTCGCCTCCTTCATCATCCTCGTGTGTCGTTGTCGCCGATTATCAGACATTGGGGCCTCCTCATCCATCTCCTCCTGCATGTTGTTGGTGTGTGGGGGTGGAAGTTGTAGAAGAGCAGGATAACAGGGGTGGAGGTGGTGGAAGTACATGACATAGGGGGGTCTCCGCATCACGGAGCACCGCGCCGATGGGCCCGCGCGGGCCCGCGATGCCCCGCTTTTCGCCGCTACCGCAAAAACCAGATGAGTGAAAACCATTTGCGACTCAGAAAATTCCCGGAGAGCTCTCTGAGAGCTAGAGGGTTTTAGATTAGAAGCCGGACGGTGGTGGTGCCCGCCAGCAGCCCATCTCCGCCGCTCCAGGATCCCCGCAGCGGCTCGCCCGGGCCGGCAGCGGGTTCGGGGGCGCTTCCAGCACGCGTCCACGCGAGCCTGCACGCGTGCAGGCACGCGTGGAAGCGTTCCGGGTAGCGCTTCAGAAGCGCTTCTGGGGAGCTCCCCAGAGCTCTTCAAGAAAGATTTTTCCCGTTCCGGAAGGTCTCTTCGCTATGCTGGTTTTAGATGCTACCAAGCACCTCGTAGAGCTCTTCGTTATCGATGAGCTAGAGAAATTCCGGCGCGGGGTGGAGCTAGTTGATCGGCCCGACCAGAAAAGAAGATGTGGTAACTTTCGGTCGGTTTTGCGAAAGTTTGAAAGTTGTTTGACAATTCATTTTGAGAAAGCAGATTATCAGTCCGAGCATTAGTATCTTAACTTCATTCTGCGAGCAGCTCAGCTCTTGAGACAGTTTCACTATCCAAACATTTGGAGGAACGACGTCACGTTGACACCGAGAAATGCAAATATGATGTTTTTCTAGAAATGCTATGAGAAGCGGTCTGCTTTGAATCTGAGCATTCTTACGCGTGCAAGGAGCTCTACGAGGATACGAGATCCCCGACCCCCACAACCCCGCTACCTACCACACGTACAACCATGCGCTTTGGGCTGATAACCTGTACCTTGTGGGGAGGAATGCTAAGGAAATCCAGAAGATCGTTGATGTTTTCACTATTGCTTTAGCAGACTGGGGAATGAGTTGGAAGTCATCATCCTTGCAGATACTCGTATGCGGGACCCAGGACCCTACGCCGATTTTGGCCCAAGTCGGAGACCAACGAGTTGCCTTCACGCCGGTGGAGTCGCTTTCTATTCTGGGCTGCGTTGTCTGCAAAAGTTTTCTCGAGGGACACGAAGACCTAGCGCATCGACTTAAATGCGCCAGGGGATCCTTTTTCGCTCAGATATCATATTTTGGGTGCAGATCGGTACCGCTGAAACATAAATATCGCCGTTATCAAGCTCAGGTCCAATCGCGTCTGCTATATGCGGGAGAGATGTTCACGCTTGATGCTGAGGCGGTGCGAACCATACATGCTTTTGAAGGCATGTGCCTACTGCGTATGTGGTGCCGCCGCAAGCCGTCTTCGCTAACATGGGGTGTCTGGCGCCCTGAGATGCTCCACAAGGTGCGACAGCATTTCGCTGAGGCCAATTTCCCATCAGCTGTACAGATGATTGCTTGGAAGAGCTGGACGATGATGAGAAGTATCAAGGAGTATATCTTGTCAGATTGTCACCGACGACATGTTCAACGGCGTCAGAGCGCAAGTCCTGAGGAAGCCCCGAGTGCGTGGGAACACCTCAGGCAACGTCGCCAAATTTTGCAGGAGGCGTCAGGACGCAAGTCCTGGGGAAGCCCCGAATGCGAGGGAACACCCCAGGCACACGTCGCCACGTTTGGTGCTGATCCTGAGCCTTCCCAGAAGAGAGTACGCTTTGCTGATACACCCTCGCAATCTTTCACGGGAGCCATCTCACAAGTTGTTGCTGAGAGTATTGCATTGAGTGATAGGCTGGAGAATGTCTCACAGGAGCTCGCCAGACACATTGCGACCCAGGACGCCAGCTTCAACAGGCAGAACTTGAAAAGACGACGACTGCAGGGACTACGACAAGGGTTTGGCGGTGACTCTTTGGCTTCTGAGAATATTGATTCAGGGAGTGGGTCGGCGGCTCTACTGCCCACACTCTCCCTGCCAGGTCATGATATTGATCACTGCAGTCCTGATAACAGAGCTGTCGTGGACAGCAGAAGGGGATTGCTCATGTACAATGTTGAGTGGACAACGCGCAGGGACATTATGGCAGAATGTTGCCGTCTACACGGGAACCGTACTCAGGCATCCACGATCAAGAGGTTGAGAGCTGGTCCAGAGAGAGTGGGCCAGCGTAGCTGGCAGTATCCATACATTCTTACATATGGCAGTTCTTGGTGGTCGAGTGTCGAGACGAGTTATAGTTCTTTCCTGGAGATGTGGCAGAATCTTTTGTGTACGTACGATAAACCAAAGGTATTCCTATACTTTGTTCAGAACTGGAAGGGCACAGCGGCGCACTATACACCTCCCGAGATGGGGGGGGGATGCTGAGCGTATACCGAGTGAGAAAGATACACAAAAACTTGCTAAGAGATTGGCGATCATCTGCGAGAGGCAGACGGTATGGGACATTGTAAGTCCAGGATTCGGGGTAGAAATCAAAGGGGATAGTTTACTTGTGAATAACTGGCTGACGGGACGATGGCGGTGCGACAACAAACAATACCAGAGACGGGTGGACCGATGTATTAACGTTCTAGATCGAGCTGCGGGGGATCTGGGTATTCGAAGTTCTGGATTGGGGAAAGACTTATATAGGCATGAATTCAGGGAAGATAACACACGGGCTGATGAACTTACACATTTGGCCCGCGAGGGCCACTGCTTCTACAACCAATATGAGTACAAGTTTAGCTTTGAGGACTTTCTACAACCTATCGCCTGTCGTGGTGGATACGATGGGGGAGTTTGCAGCAAAGGAACGGGGTGCGGCTTTTGGCTTCAAGTGGGTTTCATCAATCACAGATATGATTGTAATAAGTGTACCTCGTGTTCTCCTCTCCCCTCCTCCTCCCCCTATTCCGTGTCCTCTAATATGCCTCTCGTTTGGAGGGATGTGTGCGAAGCCGCGTGGTGCCTGGAGGGTGCTACGATAACCGACGCCGAACTTAGTGCTGCTGAGGCGCTTACTAGCGCTGTTGTGCATTTGGCGCAACAGATTCTGGCCGCCAGTTGACCCAGCTGGAGCATCGGTCCGAAAACCCAAAAAACCAGGTTGACGGTTCACTGCCGGCGCCAGTGTCACTTGACGTGTCTGCAACGTGATTTTTTCCCTTGGCCTCATCTGGGGGCCACCAGGTAACCCGCCTGAACCCTTGAGCTACCCCCGCTCTGCCTCGGACCTGTCGATCGTGTCGTCGATCGTCGAACGTCGTTCGTCGCCGTTGCTGACCATCTGACTCTCTGACGGGGCGGTCGCAGGGGCCGGCCCCGCTCGGAAAGTTCCGGCGTGGGCGTCCAAGGGGCTTCCATCCTCATCGCTCCGCACACCCTCACTATCAATTTTGGTCGTGCCCAACTCTGCATTCCTCTCCGCTCCCTCCAGTGGCGAGCGAGGTCCTGCCGCGCCAGCTGCCCGCGCCCCCCCGCGCGGCCGGGCAGCCGGCCTCTGGCCTGCCAGGGGGAGGGGGGGGGCGGTGGGAAGGCCTGGATGAGATATAATATCTGAGTGCGCAGTTCCCAGCAGCGTTACGTCCAGGACGCAAGGTAGCTCTTCGGCAGGTTCGGCAACCAATCGGAGCTCTTGGCGGCCGACATGCTCGGCGATGCTGCCAGCTGCCTCCGAGGATGAGCCCCTCGCCGGGAGGGGCGGCGCCGCCTGGGCCGTCGGCGACTCCGACGAGTCGGGCGAGGACGTCGCCCCGGCCGCGAAGGCGATGTGCCTTGGCCTGGGCCGCCACGCCCCGCAGGCGCCCGCGCCGAGCCGAGCAGGCAAGGGCCGCGGCAAGGGGCGAGGGGGCCGCGAGAACGAGGCCGCCAGGGCCCGCCGCGCCGCTGGCGCCGCAGGCGGCAAACGCGGCAAAGACTGCGATTCCGACGAGCAGCCACTTGGCGGGCATGGGATGCAGACGCCACGGGCCGCCGCTCACCCTAGGGTCCGCGGAAGCCCCTCGGCGCCGGCGGCGACGCTGCGCTGCTCGACGAAGGTCGGCGCCGGCGGACGCGGCGACCCAGCCGCCAGCTTGGGCGCGGCCCCGTTCGCCGGCCCAGCCGTTGGCGCCGCCCCAGACGCCAGCGCCGCCCCGGCCGCCAGCGCCGGCCCAGCGGCTGGTAGCGCTGGCAGCAGAGGAGCGCTGCCGCCCCCAGGCGGAGGCGGAGGAAGGCCGACGCTGCCGCGGCAGCCGCAGCCCCCAGGCGGCGGCGACCCCGACGGCCACGTCGTGCGCGGCGAGCAGCTATTTGACACGGTCTGCCGAAGGTCCAGCCTGCGCGAAGCCTCGGATCTCATGGGTCAGGTTTCTGAGATAAAGGCGCGCGTCGCTGATCTCCGGCAGCAGAAGACAGCCCTGGGAACTCGGCGCAGGAAGGGCCAGGTCACCGCCCAGGACGAGGCTTCGGTCAGCGCGACCATCAACAAACTGAGCACCGCCGTTGACTTCGCGACGGCAGCGGACAAGGTGATGAAGCAGCCGTTCACCAAGCCCAGCCCCGACTTCATCCGGGCGTTCGCCGCGCTGGAAGGTTGGGGGGCAGGGCGCGGTGGAGCTGGCCGCGGCAGTGCCAGGGGTGGGTTCGGGCAGGGTCGACGAAGGTGGCGCAGAACGGGTGGGTTGAGACTCTGAACCCACCCGTCCTGCCCGCCACCTTCGTCCTGTCCCCGCCCGCCGCCCCCTGCCCCGCTGCGGCAGGCGCCGCCGGGCCCGTGGCCCGCCGTGGCAGGCGCCGTGGAGCAGGGCCAGGATCCGTTGGGCAGTTTTTGGTCCGTCCAACGCGAGAAGGCCAAGATCCACAGCTTGTCGGACGTCGGCTCTTTCCTGGCAGCCATCGAGTCCATGGAGAACGACATGATCACGGTCGGCATCGATGGGGGCCACATGTCAGGCGCCAAGGCCATCCTTCTCCGGGCTGTCTTGACCACCCACGTTAACGTCGCGGAGAAGATGAAGACCCCGCTCGACGAGTATCGCGATCAGCTCGGCAAGATGCTAGCATCAGTGCGGAAAGGCGGCTTCCCTGAGGACGATGTCAGCTCCATCACATGCGCGGTGACCATCGGCAACGCCGCCAACGTGCCATGCGCCGACTTGCAGTCGGCGCTGGACAGCGCCCAGAGGCCCATGCGGGATGGCGACCCATTTGTGACGTAACGGGGAGAAGCTATTAAGGACCCCCCCCTCTCCGGCGAAACGATATCCCCCCCGCACCTGGAAGCGTTACCTCCGGCACATGCGGCTACGAGGAGAAGGAGGAAGCACATCGCCTGAGACATCCTGGCATTTCTTAATAGAATTTGCAAACTCGCCTGAGACATCCTTACATGTCTTAATAGACTTTGCCAAATCGCTTGAGACATCTTCATATTTCTTAGCAGAATGTGCCACATCGCTTGAGACATCCTCACTTTTCGTGCGAGACTTGGCCAAATAGCTTGAAACATCCTCACATTTCTCACGAACATTTGCCAAATCGCTTGAGAAATCCTTACACATCTTAATAGAATGGACCAAATCGCTTGAGACATCAACGCATTTCTGAATAGGATTGGCCAACTCGCTTGAGACGTCGTCGCATTTCCAAATAGAACTTGCCAAATTGCATGAGACACCCTCGCATTTCTTAAGAATTGGCCAAATCGCCTGAGACGTCCCCACATGTCTTAATAGAATTTGCTAAATCGCTTCAGACATCCTCACATTTCTGACTAGAATTGGCGAATTTTTTTGAGACATCCTCATATTTCTTAATCGAATTGGCCAAATCGCTTGAGGCATCCTCACATTTCTTAGTAGAATTGGCCAAATCGTCTTAGACATCCTTACATTTCTTAATAGAATAAATTAATTCGCCTGAGACATCCTCACGTTTCTTAACAGAATTTGCCACATCGCTTGAGACATCCTCACATTGCTTCATCCTTCTCCTCCTCCTTCCCCCTCTCCCTCCTTCCCCCCCAGCTCGCCTTTCACAGTCTTGGAAATATTAAGACAACCTTTCAGTGCTCAGGAGAGCTCCTGCCTGTGCCTGCCGCCCTTTCAAAACTCAAGCGTTCAGTTTCCAGATAGGATTGGCCAAATCGCTTGAGACGTCCTCACAATTCCAAATAGAACTTGCCACATTGCCTGAGACATCCTCGCAATTCTTATTAGCATTTGCCAACTCGCCTGAGACATCTTCACATTTCTTAACAGACTTGGCCAAATCGCTTGAGACATCCGTACATTTCTTATTAGAATTGGAATTGGCCACATCGCCTGAGACATCCTCGCAATTCTTATCAGCCTTTGCCACATCGCCTGATGCATCTCCATTTCTTAACAGACTTGGCCAAATCGCCTTTGGCCAAATCGCCTGAGACATCATTACATTTCTTAATCGAATTAACTAGCCAAATCGCCTAAGACATCGGCACATTTCTTAATAGAAGTGGCCAAATCGCTTCAGGCATCCTCACATTTCTTAATAGAAATTGCCACATCGCTTGAAACATCTTCGCAGTTTTGTAAGCATTTGCCAAATCGCCGGAGGCATCTTCGCAATTCTTAAGAAACTTGGCCGACTCGTCTACTCGTACTCGTACTCCTACCCGTATTCCTACTCTTACTCCTACTCCTATACTCCTACTCCTACTCCAACTCCTCCTCCCTCTCCTCTTACTCCTACTCCAACTCATACTTCTACTAAGGGAGCCTCACGACTCCTGCGCGGCCCAGGGAGCCTCATAGTAATCCAAGAAGGCCGAGAGGTTCCAGAATAATCCAAGACGGTCCAAGGCGTATCGCAAGGGGTTTTCATAGCAGGGCCCTGGAGATGCCTTCAGCCAATGGCCCCTCGCCTTCCCTCAGTGGCCAGGGCCTCTCAGGGCCCAGGGAGCTCTTATTTTCAGAGGCCTTCGGTCGATCCGCCTGACCTCCCCCCCCATCGGGGTCCAGGGCCTCTCAGGGCCCAGGGGGCTCTTAATCTCAGAGGCCTTTGGAGGCAGTAGTCCAGGTACTGGCAGGAGTCCAAGTACTCAGAAAGAAGCAGTGGCGCCTGATATTTTTTGTAGAATTGGCCACGTCGCCTAAGACATCCTCGCACTTCTTAGTGGAATTGGCAAACTCGCCTGAGACATCCTCGCATTTCTTATTAAAATTTGCCACGTCGTCTGAAACATCAGTTGCTCCTTGGGCCTCTCAGCCATGTCATGGTTGTCAGGAGTAACTATCCACCATTGGTGTCTTCCGACGATTACGGTGGCGACGAGCACGACCTGGCTGTCGCGCGGATATTTTTTTGGCCGGGTGCTAAGATAACGCCACGGTGCGGGGTGGGGGCGATGCCCTCGGGTGCACCACCCCCTACAACGGCCGAAAAAAAAAAACATTTCTCTAAAGGCTTTTCAGTAGAAACCTCATCGGAAAATGAGCCTGGCGAAGGACCCAACCATATGCAGTTGTGAATGCCGCAATTGTGCTGGGTGGTGGCGGACGCGCGCGGGCGGTGCAACTCGGACCTTCGGTGGAGCTCCCTAGCTCCCTATGGGGCCACGAAGCGCTGTACTGGGTGGGTGAGGCGCGGTCAGCAAGGGCTGTGCTGCGTGGTGGCGGACGCATGCGAGCGGTGCCACTGGGACCTTCGGTGGAGCTCCCCATGGGGCCACGAAACGCTGTACTGGGTGGGTGAAACGCAGGCAGGGAGCAAGGGCTGCGCAGGGTGATGGCGGACGCATGCGGGCGGTACCGCATGGACCTTTGGTGGGGCTCCCTGTAGGGCTACGAAGCGCTGTTCTGGGTGGGTGAAGCGCAGGGAACAAGGGCTGTGCTGGGTGGTGGCGGACGCAAGCGGGCAGTGCCACTGGGACCTTTGGTGGAGCCCCCTATGGGGCCACGAAACGTGCGAGGGGTGTGCCAGAATGGGGTGTGGAACCGCATGCCAGCGCAGCCACTGGGCCTTCGGTGGAGCTCTCTATGGAGCCACGAAACGTGTGAGGGGTGTGCCGAAATGGGGGGTGGAACCGCATGCGAGCGCAGCCACTGCGGCGTTCGGTGGAGCTCCCTATGGGGCCACGAGACGTGTGAAGGGCGTGCCGAAAAAAAGGGGTGGAACCGCATGCGGGCGCAGCCACTGGGGCCTTCGGTGGAGCTGTCTATGGGGCCACGAACCGTGTGAAGGGTGTGCCGAAATGGGGGGGGGAACCACATGCGAGCGCAGCCACTGGGGCGTTCGGTGGAGCTCCCCATGGACCCACCCACGAAGCGTGTGGGGGGTGTGCCGAAATAGGGGGTGGAACCGCATGCGGGCGCAGCCACTGGGGCCTTCGGTGGAGCTCCCTATGGGGCCACGAAACGTGTGAGGGTTGTGCCAGAATGGGG